TCCTTCCTTCCTTCCTTCCTTCCTTCCTTCCTTCCTTCCTTCCTTCCTTCCTTCCTTCCTTTATCTTGGAGACAGAGTCTTACTATATAAGCCTGGCTAGCCTCAAACTCAGAAAGCTCCTCCTGCCAGACTCCTGGATGCTGGGATTAAATGTGTGCATCACCACACCTGGCTCTACTTGCTTTTTCCTTTTCGGGTTACAGCAGCCGTTAGCCCTGATAGACCCACAAACAGCAATGGAACCGACAATGTGCCCCCAGCCGCAGTCATACCCTGCAGCTCACCAAAGTCTCCTAAGTTAGGTAAGGAAGAGGCAGGGAGGACTTTTACAGAGCCTGGTTCCAAAACCCAGCCATCACCTGCAGCCTAGATGCCACAATCTTCCTGTCTACAGGAAGATACCTAATCTTCCTTTGGTGGGTTTCCAGTCCCAACCCCAGACTTTCCTTTAGGCTCACCTTTACCAGGCTTCACCTTCGGAAGATCTACGCTGGGCCATTTTCTTAGAGCACTGGCTCTCAGGACAGTTTCAGTTTTTTCTCTTCCTAAACACACTGATCCCAGCTCCCCAGGTCTGCAGGAAAAATCTCCAGGTGGTGTATCGGAGTCCAGGCATTTGATCAAATGGAACCCCACCCGGTAATGAGCCCTGTCAGGTGGCTTAGTGGCATGTAGGCCATGTTTGATCAAACAGGACCCCACCCAGTTAACGAGCCTTGCCAGGCTGTCTGCAGGGTTAAGGAAACCTGGAGCAGAGGCCCAGGGAAGGCCAGACAAAGGAAGTGGAAACCAAAGCACAGAAGAGCTCACCAGCTGGAAGGCCAGCAGGGAATGGAGGAAGGAGGCACAGGAGCACAGGGAAGGGCCTGAGGAGTCAGGGACAGGAAACTGCCTGGTTCTCGGCACACGGTCTTTTGAGCAGAAAGTTGCTGCCCTCACACGCAGGAAACTTTTTATTTCTTTTTCTTCAATAACGGGTCGGAGAAAACTAGCGGCCGTGTTTTCACTTTCAACTTGTTACTTTCAATGTTTAATATGTTATTGGTAGGTTAAGATTATTTTCTCTGAAATCCCAGGAATTAATATTTGACATGTTTCTCTCGTATAAGCTGTTTTTATTTTATTACTTTTGAATAGATGAGGAGTAATTTTCCTTGCTGTCATTATATTTGGACTTAACACATATTGGAGTTTTTTTTGTTGTTGTTGTTGTTTTGTTTTGTTTTTTTTTTTGAAGAGCACTTCTAAATTCTTGTTTTTGATCCAGTGTTTCAACAAGAATTGTATAATCATTGCTTGCTTATCAAGGAGAGATGTATTTTTCCCCATCGTCAAAATATGTTCTACTAAAAAGAAAGGAAATCTTGTTGCATGTACATGCACGGTGAGCCTTGAGAACGTTCTGCCGAGAAGTAAGCCGGTTACAGTGAAACACATGCCTACATGGCAACTTCATGGAGTAGTCCAATGCAGTGAACCTGCCCTCAGGTCACTGGCTGCTCACCCTGGGGAATGGTGCCATATCTTGGGCTCAGTGCTGGTTTCTGCTGTTGGCAGATTTGGCGCTCAGCAGCAGCTGTAGCCGGGTCAGCCTCGGTGAGTGAAAGTACATGGTGTTTCTTATGAGCCCATCTCTGTCACCGTGACCACTTTGCTCACGGGTCCATTGAGCAATGAAGGAATGGCTAGGGAAAGAGGCTGACTTTCCGCAGAATGGGTCATCCTATCCACCTGATTATTGAAATGCCTCAGCTGATGAGCATTTACAAGGGAGAGTTACTGATTTTTTTTTTTTTAATTAATTTTGTATCCAGCCCCTTTGCTGTTTATCAGCTGTAGGAGTTCTCTGGTGGAATTTTGGGGGTTGTTGTGTACACTATCATATCATCTGCCTTCTTCCTTCCAGATTTGTATGTCCTTGTTCTCCGTTAGTTGTCTTGTTGCTCTAGCTAGAACTTCAAGTACTATATTGAAGAGGTACAGAGAAAGTGGGCAACCTTCTCTTGTCCCTGAACTTAGTGAAGGTGCTTTAAGTTTCTCTACATTTACTTTGATGTTGTCAATCGGCTTGCTCTCCACAGCCTTTATCATGTATCTTGTATCCCTGATCTCTCTAAAACTTTCATCATGAAGGGATGTTGGATTTTTTTCAAAGGCTTTTTCTGCATCTAATGAGATGATCATGTGATTTTTTTTTAGGTTTTTTTTTTTTATATGGTGGATTCCATTGATGGATTTTCATATGTTGAAGCATCCTTGCATCCCTGGGATGAAGCCTACTTAGTCATGGTGGATGATGTATTTGATGTGTTCTTGGATTCAGTTTGCGAGTATTTTATTAGGTATTTTTGCATCATTGTTCAAGTGAAATTGGTCTAAAATTCTCTTTGTTGAGTCTTTGTGTGGTTTAGGTATCAGTGTGACTGTGGCTTCATAGAATGAATTTGGCAATGTTCCTTCAGTTTCTATTTTGTGGAATAGTTTGAGGAGTATTGGTATTAGCTCATTTTTGAATGTCTGGTAGAATTATGCACTAAAACTACCTGGCCCTGGGCTTGTTTTGTTTTGTTTTAGAGACTTTTGATGACTGTTTCTACTTCCTTAGGGGTTATAGGACTGTTTAAACTGTTTACCTGATCTTGATTTAACTTTGGTAGGTGAAATCTATCAAGAAAATCATTATTTCCTTTAAATTTTCTAATTTTGCGGAATATAGGCTTTTGAAGTAAGACCTGATGATTTTTTGGATTTCCTCAGTGTCTGTTGTTATGTCCCCCTTTTTGTTTCTGATTTTGTTAATTTGGCTACTCTTCCTCTGCCTTCTAGTTAGCTGGGCTAAGGGTTTGTCTATCTTGTTGATTTTCTCAAAGAACCAGCTCTTGATTTCATTGATTCTTTGTATCATTCTCTTTGTTTCCAATTTATTGATTTCAGCCCTTAGTTTGATTATTTTCTGTCATCTACTCCTATTTGGTGTGTCTGCTTTCTTCTGTTCTAGAGCTTTCAGGTGTGCTGCTGAGTTACTAGTATGGGATCTCTTCAATTTCTTTATGAAATTGCTTAGTGCTATGAACTTTCTTCTTAGCACTGTTTTCATTGTGTCCCATAAGCTTGGGTATGTTGCGCCTTCACTTTGGTTGAATACTAGAAAGTCTTTAATTTCTTTCTTCCCTGACCCACTGGTCACTGTAGGGAGTTGTCCAGTTTCCATGAGTTTGTAGGCTTTCTCTTGTTTCTGTTGTTGTTGAAATCCAGTTTTAACCCATGGTGGTCTGATGAGCCACAAGGGGTTATTTCAATCTTCTTATATTTGCTGAGGCTTGCTTTGTGACCGAGTATATGGTCAATTTTGGAGAAGGTTCCATGAGGTGCTGAGAAGAAGGTATTTTTTTCTTGTGTTTGAGTGAAATGCTCTGTAGATATCTGTTAATTCCATTTGGTTCATGGTGCCTATTAGTTTCTTTCTTTCCCCATTTAGTTTTCATTTTGATGATCTGTCCATTGGAGAGAGTGAGGTATTGAAGTCTCCCACTATTAATGTGTGGGGTTCAATGTGTGGTTTAAGTAATGTTTCTTTTACAAGTGAGGGTACCCTTGTATTTGAGGCATACATGTTCAGAATTGAGAACATGTATCTTGTTAGATACAATGTCATCTTGTTAGATTTTTCCCTTTGATGAGTATGAAGCATCCTTCTCTATCTCTTTTGATTAATTTTGGTTGAAAGGCTATTTTATTAGATGCTAGAATGGCTACTCCAGCTTGCTTCTTGAGTCCGTTTGCTTGGAAAACCATTTTCTAGCTCTTAACGCTGAGGTAATATCTATCTTTATTGCTGAGGTGTGTTTCTTGTATGCAGCAGAAAGATGAGTCCTGTTTTCATATCCATTCTGTTGACCTGTGTCTTTTTATTGGGGAGTTGAGGCTGTTGATGTTGAGAGATATTAATGACCAGTTGTTGTTACCTCCTGTTATTTTTATGTTGGTGGTGGTAGAGTGTGTGTGATTCCCTTCTTTTGATTTTGCTGATGTGTGTTTTCCTAGATATAGTTGGCCTCCTTGGGTTGGAATTTTCTCTATAGTTTCTTCTGTTGGGCTGGATTTGTGGATAGGTATTGTTTTAATTTGTTTTTGTCATAGATATCTTGTTTTCCCCCTCTTTGGTAATTAAAAGTTTTAGTGGGTATAGTACTTGGTGCTGACATCTGTGGTCTCTTAGTGTCTGTAAGATATCTGTCCAGGCCCTTCTGGCTTTTAGAGTTTCTCATGAGAAGTCAGATGTAATTCTGATAGGTTTGCCTTTATATTTGACTTGGCCTTTTCTCCTTACAGCTTTTAATATTCTCTTTTTAGTCTACACATTTAATGTTTTGATTATTATATGGAAAGGTGATTTTCTTTTCTGGTCCAATCTATTTGGTGTTCTGTGGGCTTCTTGTATATTTATAGACACCTCTCTCTTTGGGTTGAGGAAGTTTTCTTCTATGATTTTGTTGAAAATATTTTCTGGGCCTTGGAGCTGAGAGTAGTTTCCTTCTTCTATTCCTATTATTCTTAGATTTGCTCTTTTTTCAGTGTGCCAGATTTCTTGGAAATTCTGTGTCAGGAGATTTTTAGATTTAACATTTTCTTTGACTGATGTATTGATTTTTTTCAATCGTATCTTCTACTCCTGAGATTCTCTCTTCCATCTTTTGTATTCTTTTGGTGATGCTTGTGTCTATAGTTCCTGTTCCCTTCCCCGGGTTTTCCATCTCCAGGATTATCCCAGATTGTGTTTTATTTACTGCTTCTAGCTCCATTTTTAGGTCTTTTTGAACAGTTTTATTCATTTCCTTCTTCTGTTTGATTGTACTTTCCTGTGTTTCTTTAATTTCTTTAAGGGATTTGTTCAATTCTATCATCTGTTTGAATGCATTATCCTGTGCTTCTTTGAGAGCTTTATCTTCTTAATGCCTCTATCATTTTCACAACCTCAGATTTAAAATCATTTTCTTGCACCTCAGGTATAGCAGTATCTCCAGGGCTTGCTGTGGTAGGACCACTGGTTTCCGGTGCTGTCATATGGCCCTGAGTTTTGTTGCTTTTATTCTTATACTGGCCTCTAGCCATCTGGTTGACTCTGGTGTTCGCCAGCCTGGTAGTCCCTCTGCTGGGCTCACTGGCTGTGTCCCAGGTGGGCCAGGCAGCTGGGGAGCAGGCAGAAAGACCTCCAAGCTGAGAGCTCCTCCGTGTCCCCCAGGCCTCCTCGGGATGAGAGATAATGAGGCTTGGGTTGTGCACTAGCTCACCTCTGCTGGGTTCACTGTCTCTGCAAAGCTCGCTGTTTCTGACCGAGGTGGCCACTTACATTCTTTACATACAGACAATAATTTTTTTATTCAAAAAAACATTTCTTATATTTATCTATCTAATTATTTAGTAGGGAGTGGGTCACAAGTGCCATGGTGCACACGTGGACGCCAGAGGACTTTCAGGAGTTGGCTTTCTTCCTCTGAGTGGATCCAAGGAATGGAACTCAGGTCACCAGCTGTGGTCACTAGTGTTTTCACCTACTGAGCCATCTCACAGGCCCCCACAATAGTT